TAAAAATGGTGTCTGTGATTAAAGCTAACTCCAACTTGAATGGGGGCAAGTCTCTCCTCTCTTCACCCAACTTCACCATGTGCTAAAAATGAAGGCAATGAGTAGATGAACTTATTTAAACTTTCTTATAAATCCAAGGTTGTCTAGGATTAGGGATAAATGGAGGGGACCCGTAACCTTTCCAGACACTGCCCCCTGACCATAATTGGCCACTGTCATTTGATCCAGCCAGCCAATTGACAACATTAAAGATGTCTATTATTGTGATGGACCTAGCTTTGATGCAGCTGCTGCTCCCCTCTGAACAGAGGCTACAGCCACTCTAAAAGCCATCCTGACTGTGTGCATGGAAAGCCCCATAAGGCATCTCTTCCTGAGGGTGGAAGGGGTGAGAACTCAGGGCGAGGTACCTAGAAGAGGTCCTAAGAGTAGAGCAGTGGTTCTCGACCAGGCAATCCTCCCACCCCCGGGACAAATGGCAGTGTCTGCAGACATTTTCCATCCTCATAACTGGGTGCAGACCAGCTGCTAAAGGTCCTACAGGACACAGGTCAGCCCCCCATACCAAAAGATTATGAAACTCCCCAGTTTCAACCTTGGTGTCTGGGGCAATCACAGCAGATACTTTCTCCCAGAAACCGCAGCTTTGTGGAGAGAAACATTAAAGCAGGGTGATAAGTGGGGCATTTCTGTTGTTTAAAACCTTGTGGCCCTAGATGGGGGTGTGGGTGTGGGGGTTTTAGAGCACAAACACGAAGCCATGGCAGCCTGGATAAAATAAAAGAGTGGGTTTCAACGCAGCCTGGTGCCCCTGAGCCGCTGAAGGTGGGACTTGCCCACCGGAGTGGGACAGAAGCAGCCGGCAGCCCCAAAGAAGATGTGTGTCTGGAAAGTGGGGGCTTTTCTCTCTGAACATCAGGAGCAGGTTACAGCAACGTTCTCAGATGGAAGTTTAACTCCTGTGGTTTTGCCTCATAATATTTGCCACCTCTTAACTGCTGAAAGCCCTTCAGTGCACATAAATGCATGTACTTATTTACTTGCTTATTTCACCCAGGAGGGTGTGCATACGTGTGTGCGTGTGTGTCTCGTGTCAGGGAGTGGTGGGGAGACAGAGGCAGGTTAAGGTCTCACTCTGCAGCCCAGGCCAGCTAGGACGTGAAGGTTGTGATTTCATGGCTTTTGTGCCGCTGGCAAGCCCTGCATTCTCTCACTCCTCTAGGCCGCTAACAAGTGGGCCCCGAGCCCTCCGGGGCCTTTGGAGTGCACTCATCTGAGAGATTGTGCTTTTCTCAGCCGCTCAGATTTATTTTGCTAAAGTTACAGGGCAATTATGGAAATGCGCCCTTTGAAGCCAGGCTGATTTCTCTCTATTTTCTTCTCCCTGACAAAGCAGAGCTTCTCTGCCTCTTGTAGGCCTTTTTTTTTTCCTTCCTCTCTCTCTTTCCCATTCCCTTTCCTCTTTTTTTCCTTTTTTTAATTTCTTCTGATCATTATTAGATAGTGGGAGTTTCCAAGGGTAATTTGAAAAAATTTTTACGTGGTGATAAAAATGTGCATGGATTAAAATAACATTGCTATTATTTTAACGTTATCTTTTTTACATGGGATTTTGGTGGCCAGGAGGGGAGAAAGGGATTAATGATAGCAAGAGACAGACATATTCATGCCCAGATTGTGGGCCCAAGACACACTTGCCAGGCTGAGGCCCAGAGCCGGTGAGGCACATGGCAGCCTGGCAGGCCCTTGGTTGGCTAACAGGCTGGCCCGGCCACCTGGGGCTCCCACTATACCCCTGGCATCCACAGAGCCACAAATTTAGCAGGATAAGCGCTCTGCTCCCTTTTTCTCACACCTTAGGAATGAGATGCCCAGACTCAACAGGGCTGTGTTTTCTGGGCTTTGTACATTATTTATCACTGTAGCACGGAATCTGGAGGCTCTGTGTGAACCGACCCAACTTATCCCTCTTCTCTTGCCCCACTTTGCTTGACTTGACGCTAGGGTGTTGAGGAAAAGTGTCTGAAGCCAGATGGCGTCCACCTCGGTGCTGGCGAGGCCTCCAGCGGGGAGAGTTGGCCTGCTTAGTGTGTGGGGCCTCAGTTTCTGTCTCTAAGAGTGGCTTTGAAGTTTTCTTTGTTCATATTTTTGTTTGCTCCTTCCTTCCTTCCTTCCTTCCTGTCTTTTGGGTGAATGGCTCATTATCTGTGCACACACACCAGCAGGAAGCCTTGTCACCCACAGGAGCTGGGAATCGGCCTCAGTGGCCTGTCCAGAGTGGAGGCCATTTCAGCTCTCACTTCCTTTACTCTGTTTTTTAAAATAAAATAAATAAAAAGGAGTTTAGGGCTAATGATCTGATAGGCCCCATGCTAACCACTTTCCACGCCTTTTATTTCATATATGCAACCACCCTGGGGAAAGGCACAGAGGAATAAATTAAGGCTTGAAATGTTGAAGAGACTCCTTTGGTAACATGGAACAATCTCCAAGGAGTGAAAAAAATCCAGGCAGAACCTTCCACAAGCTTTTCTACCATCTGAATTGAAAGGGGAAAGTGCATTTGTTTGTACAAGAAGCTGGTAAGAGCGGTAGCCTCAAGGAGAGGACCTGGGCCGCTAGGATCAACGACGAGAGGAATATTTTTCAGTCTATATGTCTTTGCTCCTTTAGAAGCATGTGACTATGATAGCTCCTCAGAAAGCTCTTTTATTTTTTAAATAACTAAAATGCATGAGAAAGAGAGCGGGTGGTGGAGAGAGGGAAAACAATTTCTCTGGATCTCAAAGGGGAGTTGAGAATGATTCATTCATTTATTCAGTGGACACCCACAGATGCTCATGAAGCCCCCCTGTGCCAGACCATGCACCTCCTGTGTGGTGGTCCAGAGGGCTGGCCCTACAATCAGACTGCCTGGTTCAAATCCCACTCCATCACTCCCTAACTGTGGTCCTGGGTTACTGGCTGCACCTCTCCAAGCTTTGCTCCCTCATAAACCAAAAGATAATTCTAATTTTACCTCCCTGACAGACTGTTGAGAGAATTAAATGAGTTAATTCATGCTTAGAACATGCATCATGCATAGTGATTTGCCTCATGCATAATAACTACTTAGTAAGTTACAAAAATTATTTTAATTAATTATAACAACAATTGTAGGCAATAGGTATCATTGTGCCCATTTATAGATAGGTAAACCCAAGCACAGCCACTCACTCAGTATGGCCAATAAAGGGTAGAACGGGCATACTGACCCAGGCCTTTTGAACTCCAAAATGCTCAAGCAGTGTTCATCCACACTGGAGCCTGCCACTTGTTCATGGATGGGGATTTGGGGTAGAATGCTCCACAGTGGTGACTCCACTCCCACCTACCTGATGCACTTGAGCTTGACCCTGTCTTGGATGGGCCAAGATCAGGTTCGGCCCCCATACCATACCAGCTCTCACTTTAGCCCACCCTTTCCACTGCAGAAGTCCGCGGAATGCAAGGAAGTATGAGTGGCTATATCAGAGGTATAACCTTGAATCTGTTGCCTTCTGATTTATTTTTCAAGTACAGGACAGGAGGAGGATCACTGTATCTCTGCCCACTTCTTTCTCATCTTCAGTTCTGGTGGAAAGGGGCTTTCAGTATAATTACACACCAATGTTTTGCCATGTATATTAGCGGAAGAAAGACTTCTCTTGCTACAGGATCTCTGCCACTCAATATGTGGCAGCATCAACCTGGGAGCTTGGTGGAAATGCAGATTCTCAGGCACCTCCCAGGTCTGCTGAATCAGACTCTGCATCTTCCTAGGATTCTCTGGGTGGTGTGTCTGCATATTACAGTGACAAGCACTGGTCTAGATGTTCCTTGGGAATCTCAGTGGCCCTTCCAGAATGGAGACAGGAGCAGTCTCTGAGATGTGCACCTCCATGGGATAGCTTAGCAGGATGAAGGGTGCTGGAGGGACAGTGGGAGAGTAGGGTGATGAGCAGGAAAGGAAGGAAGGAGGTCGGGAGAAGACGCCAGCCGCCCACCTGAGGCTGAGTTTGCCAGGGGTGAAGACACATTTTGCCCCTTCCTCCATCTTTAAGCATGTTCAAGGTCAGCTATAACACTGGGTTCCTCGTGGCCACAGCCTCTGCCCGTGTATTTCACAGCATAAGAATATGTGTAATTAGAAAATGTAGGACTTTATTAGTAGTGACTGATTTCTTATAGCAAACCTCAGAGCTGATCCCCACTAAACTTGGGTACATCTCCTGAAGGAAGGGGTAAGGGGAGAGCGAGGAAAAGATAGGAAGGAAAAGGAAAGAAGGAAGATGGGAAAGAGGGAGGGAGAGAGTGGAGGAGGGAGGGAGGGAGGGAGGGCAGGAGGACAGACCAGCCATTCTGAATGGACACAAATTAGGTAGGAACCCTTTAGGGCAATTCACTTATTTTTTATTCATTCATTCATTCAACAGTATTTGTCACTCATGGAAACACAATGTGAACAAAGTTTCTCCCCTCCTAGAATGTTCAGTCTACTGGAAAGACATATTCAATAATAATAATAACAGTGCTGGACTGTGAAGGATAAGAACAAAATGCTATCTGCATGCGTAAGGAAGAGGACCGTAGTTTGGGTGGGATGGGTGGAGGAGGTGGGTACAGATACAGACCTGCATTCACTGGGTACCGATACATGCTGCATTCATGTATCTGGGTACACAAAGGAGGCCTGGAGCATGGAGGAAACCAGGTAACTGTAGATCTGCACTATTGAAATGTGGCTGGTCCTGAGAAATGCTGTAAGTGCAAAATACTCTCTGGAATCTGAAGATTCAGTACATTAAAAGAACAAGGTATCTCAATAATTTTGTTAGATGTTGAAATGACCATATTTTAGATCTATTGGGTTAAATAAAATATATTATTAAAATTAATTTCCCCTGTATTTTTCTACTTTTTAAAATGCAATTACTAAAAAATTTTTGACGACATGTATATGGTTCCCATTGTATTTTTAATGGGCCATGCTGCTCCCAGGAGACTGAGAGGCCAAGAGTCCACAGTCCAGCACCACTGCTTCAAAGGCAACTTGAATAAGGTAGCTTAGCTGCTCTGAGCCTCAGTGCCTTCCTGTGTAAATGATGGCATCTAGCATCTTTTGAGCAGATAGTGTGTGCTAAGCACGTGAGTTAATTTGTTCAATCTTCGCAAGGTCCTATGAGATACATAGTATTATTCTCTCCATTTTACAGCTGAGGAAACTGAGGATCAGAGAGATATAACTCACCCAAGGCCATATCCCCAGAGAGCAGTGGGGACAGCATTTAACCCAGGCAGGCAGTCTGGCTCCAGAGCCTGCTCTCAAAATCACTGCACTGCCATGAACGCGACGATGATACCCACTCCACAGGATTGCTATAAAGACTTTCCACTGAGGGAATGTGTGCAAAGCATTTAGTACAGCACCTGACACCATGTAAGTGCTTGTTGTTATTATCTGACAGAGAGCTTTGTACTAAAAATTAAAATTAAAACAATCAGATCAGGCTATGCAAAACACTGACCTGTTTTAGAAGTCAACAGCAAGGCATTCGTTATCTATTGCTACATAACAAATTCCTTGAAAATATAAGGGTATAAAACAAGAAACAGTTTCTACTTCATATATTCTGGGCATCACAAATTCAAGAGCAGCTTAGCTGAGTGGTTCCGGCTTATGGTTTCTCATGAGTTTCTTATGGTTGCAGTAAAGATGCCAGACAGGGCTGGAGTCATCCGGAGGCCTGACTGAGACTGGAGCATGCACTTCCGATGTGACTTACTCCCATAGCTGTGGGCAGGAGGTCCTAGTTCCTTGCCACGTGAATCTCCACAGGGCTGCTTGCGTGTGCTCACAACATGGCAGCCATCTGCCCCCATAGCGAGTGACCCAAGAGGGAGCAAGATCGAAGGCACAATGTCTTTTCTGAGCTAGCTTCTTAAGTCACCCCCCATCATTTCTGCAATGTCCTACTGTAGTTACAAAGTTGGCCCTATTCATTTTGGGGAGCAATTATACAAGGGCATAAATACCAAGAGGCAGGGATCATTGGGGCTATCTTGGAGGCCAGCTCCTAGTTACTGTTTTCCTTTTAAGAAAAGATGTTCCTGGAATCCCAAGAATCTGGGTGCTTGGGTACAAGAAACCCAGTTCAAATAGTCTTTTCTAAAAAAGGGGTATATTGGTTTATGTAACTTGGGAAGACAAGTGTGGAATAAATGATAACAAAGAACCTATGATGTAAACCTCCTCCCAGATTTCTCCAGGTGGCAGGAACACAGTCACTAGTAAGGCCTCAGTGCTGGTGATCTAAAGGGAAATAATGGTTTATTTTGCCAACTTTAAGTTGTAAAATCCCAAGGAAGAACTCTGATTGGTCCAGCTTGGGTCATGTGTTCATTGCTGGGCCAATGGCAATGGCCAGGGTGTGTCAGGAAAAGGAAGTTTCCTTGAAGAGAAGGTGCTATTATAGAAAAGGGGGTAATTGTGCCAGGCAGACACAATCAACCCACCTCTACTACACCGGAGTGGTAGTGGTGGGGTGGGGCACAAGAGGATGAGGGAAAGAAGGTCAGTGAAGAGGCTTGAGAGGCAGTAGAAAAGGGAGAGTAATCAGTCATTTCACCAAAGGCCAGTCTTGCAGGGCTGGCAACTGAGCAATAGCCAAAATCAAAGCCATACAACCTCTCAGCCTTTCCAGGCCCAGCAGTCTGCACCTGATCATGAACTGAGATGGGTACGGGTCTTGGCAGAGCTTCTCAAGTTTTCCCACCTGAGTATCCCCAGGAAAATCAGTGAGCAGATGTTCAGCCTGAAGCCTCAGAGGTCAGCCCCCAAGGGGCCCTCCACAGGAGTGCAAGTTCTTTTAGGTCTCATTTTCTATTATATACAGGAGTTTGCGTTTTACTCCGTGATATTTCCTTGTTTGTCTTCTTGTAAAGGTAGTTTTCCTCTAAAATCTTTAGATAAAAATGGTTACATAATCCAAGGCCCCTATTTATCCTGTGGGGATACCTCCTAGGACACTGCTGGGTACCATGAGGTTCCGTTCCTTGATTCAAGAAGCTTGGGCACATGAGGTTGGCCATCACTGGATCCCAATGTCTTGGGAGGGTGACAAAGGGCAGAAGGATGGAGTTGGTCTGGGTGCCTCCTGGGGACCCATGTTTTGCTTAAAGTCAGCAGAACTTTTCCCCTCCTCTCCATTAGCCCTCTATCCCTCTTCCCCTTTTACGCTTGAACCTGAGCTGGGGGATGCATCTTTGGGCTGGGGATTATCTTGGTGCTCCCCAGTGCCTAGTATTAGTGGTCACTCAATAAATATTCAGTGAGTGTATTGCTGCTTGGGGAATTCAGCAGTAAAATTAAGATTGCCCTAAACATGTCTTTTAGAGTCTTAAGAAAAATCACTTGCAAATATTTTATAAAATAAGAGTCACTAAATATAATTATAAATGTAATTTTGTAGAAATACAATAACTGTCAAATTTAATAACCTTAAGTACCATATAAAGTGTAATCATAAAGGAAGAGTTACCCTTTGTTCAGGTTTACCACAGACAGGGGCTTGTCATCATGTTTTCCTATACAAAGTCAGCATGAGAGTGTGGTTTGAAGGCAGCAGTCACTCCATTTTCAGTTGTCCTGTGTCCTCTCTGTGCCATTCCTGAGCTCCCTAGATATATACCTGGTCCCTCCTGACTACCCAGATATTAAGGTGCAGTCAGGGCCATTTATGGTCAGTCAGTGGGGTTAGGCTGGATTGCCCTGTTATATGCTCTCACCGATTTTCTCAAGATGCTGCTCTTGTCCACATAACAGAGGCCAGGAGGTCTCCACACCACAGTCTGTCCTCCCAGCAAGGCCCCTAACCTTTTGTGTCCTGGAATACAGCAGAAGAACAGGACGGCACGGTCCAGCTGGCCGTCATACTTGGGGAAAGGTCATAGACTCCACTGCTTACTCCACAGCATGCAGAAGGGACGTTGCCAAAAATATAATTATCCAGAAATGTGGAATGAAGATACTGCAGGAGAGAGGGCCTGAGCAGAGAGCGAAGGGGAGGAATAGGCCAGCAGGTAGACAGATGCAGAGCCAGTCTGATGGATGGGTAGAGTCCCTCTTGGCCTAGGGTAGACCTGCCAACTAGAAGCTTCTAAGGAAGTTGTCTTGACTATTCAGCCCTTCCAAGAAAGAGAGAGGTGCCTTCCATCCCACAAACTGTGGATGGTCAAACCCACTCTGCAAAGAGAGAACCAGGCAATCCTTACAGCAGGAGGCAGAAGAGGGCCCCACCCTCATAGTCTCCTTGGTCCTCAGGTAGGACATCTGTGATAGGCACAAAAGAGGGCTGCAAGTTTGCCAGTGGAGAAACCACAGTGGAATAGTGTATTGCTACCTCAAAGATCTTTCGCTCACAGGCTTTCTTGCAAGTGCTAAGCTCATTCTGGGTCAGGGTCCACCGTTGCTCTGGTCCTCACTGGCATGATAATTACAGAACAGATGCCATTTCTCTTTGCTCCAGCAACACCCCCTCAAGATGCAATACATGATTATAAATGGTCAGTCAGTGGGGCACAAGAGTGATTTGATATTAGTTTCTCCAACCCTAAGAATGTGTCATAACACATAGGTGGGACATTTGAAATATTTAACAACTGGGACTTCAGTGACATCAGAATTAGCAGGGTCCTGAGGCCTCCTACTGTGTCAGGCATTGACAGGTCAGTTTGTGAGTCATGGGAATGTCCAAGAAGTCCGAGGGAAAGGCCTTCTTGGGACAGTTGGAAATCCCAGGGAAGCATTATTTGCCAACTGACATGGAACTCCCTCTGTGTTTTAAAAACAGATAACTGGATATACACATACGAATGTATGAAGTTGGATCTATTCTTCATTCCATACAAAAAAACTACTCAAATATATCACAAACTTAACTGTGAGAGCTAAAACTAAAAAATTATTGGAGAAAATATAGGCATAAATCTTTGTGATTTTGTGTAAGGGGAGAACTTCTTAGATGTGATACCAAAGGCACATGTAAGAAAAGAAAAAAAAATAGATAAAACTGGACGTCATTAAAATGAAAAAACATCAAGAAAGTAAAAAGATAAACAGCAGAATGGGGGAGATAGGTGCAGATTCTATGTATGATATACACATACATATATGTATACACACACATAAATAAACACACATATATATATCAAGAATATATAAAAAGCTATTACAACTCAATAATAAAAGACAACTCATTTTTAAAACGGGCAAAGAATCTGCATAGACATGTCTACAAAGTAGATAAACAAACGGCCAATAAGCACATGAAAAGATACTCAATATGATTAGTCATCAGAGAGATGGAAGTCAAATCCACAATGGGACATCACTTCACACCCATTGGGATGACTAAAATAAAAAAGATGGGTAATAACAAGTATTGGAGAGGATGTGGAGAAACTATAACCTTCATTCACTGTTGGTAGGAATGTAAAATAGTGCAACCCCTTTGAAAAACAGTTTGGCAGTTGTTCAAAAGGTTAAACATAGTTTCTGTATGACCCAGCAATTCCACTCCAAGATAATACTCAAAAGAAATGAAAACACACATTCACACAAAAACTGGTATGAGTGTTCATATGCAACAATATTAATCATAGCCAAAAAGTAGAAACAACCCAAATGTTCATCAACTGATAAATGGATGAACACTATGTGGTCTATCCATACAATGGAATAGCATTTAGCAAAAGAAAAGTACTGATACGTGCTATAGCATGGATGAACTTTAAGAATATGCTAAAGAAAAAAGCCAGTCATAAAAGAGCATTCATTATATGATTCCATGTATATGAAATATCCAGAATAGGCAGAGAGTTAATGGTTTCCTAGGGTTGTAAAGGCTGGGAAGAAATGGGGAGTGATTGCTGAAGGACCTAAGGGTTCCTTTTCAGAGTGATGAAAACGTTCTGAAATTGATTGTGGTGGCAGTTGTACAACTGTGAGTGTTCCAAAAGCCAGTGAGTGTTGTACTCTTGTGAATCACAACTCATGTGAATTATACCTCAAGAAAGCTGTTGGATATGCCCCACTGGCCAACACCACAAACATGCTATTAAAAGATATGTTCAGACATACACAGGTACACACACACAATAAGCAAACACAAATACAAGAGAAAGAAGGCATTGAGAAAACTGGGTCAACACAAAGAGTTGTAAATATTTTCCTCCAGTGCAGGTCAATAGACAGTGAATTTTTACCACAGTGTTGGCATTGGAGGGCCTGCTAAAAATACACATAATTTTACCTTCCAAAAAGAATAAGAAGCTTTTGTAACCTCAAATGTTTCTGGAGCTCTGATTTGGGAAGCTCCCTGGGTTGTAACCACATCCTTTTTACAATAAAAGGACTCCAAATGGCAATATTTGAAGAGACACTAACTTAGGGCTTTTAAAAGCCTGGTGCTATTTCTCCCTTAAAAAGCAGATGACTTGCCATGCACACCAGCAGAATACTGATACCTAACACTAACCACAGAGAGGCATGGGAGAAGATGCTTCCTGGAAAGTTGCAATGCACTTCTGTAGTTCTGGGTCCAGGAAATATGGAGGCTTCAGTGACACACGCCTAGGCCAAGGCAGAGAGCCCCGAGTCATACACTGTGGGGAAGAGACCTGCAGAAGGCTGTCCACCTGGTGGATGGATCCAATGTCTGTATCAGGAGGCCCACCAAATTGATCAGACACATTCACTGATTAAATGCAGTCCCAGAAAAGATGAGCCCGGGTTCAAGAAAGCCTTTTCAATGGCTCATCTTTTCTACTGCTGCACAAAATCATAGCCATCAACTCTGCTGCGAGTACTATTCCTATCTAACATTTGTCGAGCACTATGATAACACCTACATGCTTATCTCACTGCTTCCCTAAAACCACTCAATAAGGTCCATGACCACTTTGCATGTGGAGAACCTAGGTCCAAGGGGCAGAGCGGTTTCGAACCCAGTTCTGCCTGACACCATCACCAAACTCTAAATCACTTCTGCTTCAAAGGCTCTGAACACATACTTACAAATGAGTTATGGCAGAGGAGGGAAGCTCATGCTTTTCTTTCTTTAGGCCATCAGTGGAATTACTGTTGAAACTCTGGGGAAGCAACATTTTGGAGTACAAGAAGCATATGAAAGAAATAGCCTCATCCAAGAAAATAAAAGGGGGAGGTGTATCTTACAGGGAAAAAGTCTTGCTGCACATGTTTCGGGTAGACAGGAGGAGCCCAGAATGAATGAGGAAGGTGAGAGTGCAGAGATGTCCTTGAAAGCTGGCCAGCCCCCTCCCTGCCTTTGTTCACACCAGGACCCAGACACCTAGCGTCCCTGCAGCAACCAAACGGTACTGGAGATTTGGCCGCAGCCCCCATGGACTGCATCTTGTCCTCTTTTCCTTCTCCCTGTGCCCATATCAGAGATCCTTCCCATAGATGAATGGGGAGGGTTTAGGAAACCCATCTGCCCAGTGTTGCCCAGAGCCTGAAGTCCATTTGTAGATCCACACCAAGAAGGAAGAAGGCTGTGAGCCAAGAAGGAAGGCCTCTGGGGCCAGAAGGACTGAGTCCAAGCCTCACGGTCGGCTCTGAGGAGCCATCTACTTTAGTTTCTTTCTTTTAATTTTTTTATTTTGACATACTTTCAAATCTGCAGAAAAATAGCAAGAATTATGCAAGGGATTCCCATAAGCCCTTCCCCCAGATGCCCCAAATGGAAACATTTTACCATATTTCTTTCTCTCTCAACAGATAAATACAGACATATACAGGTATATACCTTATATTTGTGTAAACATATGGATATAGCTACATTTATACATAAATACTTCTATATGTATACATACATAGATATATATCTATATGCAAGTAATGTATATGTGTATATAAGTATTTACTTATTTATACAAGTACATATACACAAGTGTGTATTTATACCACATAGACGGTGTGTGTGTGTGTGTGTGTGTGTGTGTACACCAAAAACCACTGGTACTTCCAATTCTAATCCAGTACTGCAGGGTTCATTAGATTCTTCTGCTTTCCATATATGTAACTCCCTCCTCTGTCACTGATGAACCTGGCATCCATTATGAACAGTATATGTACTTATTTTCTCAATCCCAGAATACACATTATTTTCCGAATTGGCTGACCTATACATGGGCAGGAAAAGAAACCTGCTATCTAGCGTTTCAGTCTCAGAAAGAGTTCTTTTGTTTAGTATCCAAACATTGTGCTCCAAAATCACAGCTCTCCCCGATCTCCCTTTCAGACCAGTCTGTTTCCTTTGAAATAGAGTTCCGTTCCTTTGTTTTTACTTGTATCTCATTTTAAGATTTTTTCCCAACCTTGTTGATTTTATTCTTTCTTCTTCTTTTTTTTCTTTTTCTGGAGTACATGAAATAGTAACATTGTTCTAAAAATTGGAACTGTGCAGGATATTAGAAAAGCTCGTTCTCTCCCACTTTCTCTTCTTTCAACCTCATTCACCCATACTTTCTAAACTAACCAATCTCATTAGTTCCCGTTTTAACCTTCTACCGTTTTTTTTACACAAATGAATGAATACATGCATATTTTCTTTCTTCCACTGTTTCCCACACAAAAGGTAGTATCCTACTTTAACAGTATGTCCTAGAACTTAGCCCCACATAAGTCCATAGATATCATCCTCATTCTTTTTTTACAGCTACATAGGACTCCACTGGGTGGATGAACAACTCTTCAACCAATCTCATGTGTGTGAGTATTTAAATTGTTTCCAATATTTTGCAATTGCAAACAATGCAACAAAAAATACAACTTGTGCATACATACTTTTACATTATTGGAATGCCATCCAGTTTTATGTATTATATATCAGTAAGGATTAGATAAGACTGCATGTAATAGAAAACCCCATATGACAGAAACATTATTGCTAATATACATGAAATAAATCCAGAGGTTAGCCGTCCAGGGTTGGCACAGTGGCCCCATGGTCATAAGGGACCCAGGGTCTTTCTGTTATTCTATTCTTCCATCTTAGTATGTCATTTCCATCCTCACAGTTACCTCGTGATCTAAAATAGCTGCAGATGCTCCCACCATCACAACTATGCCCTAGGAAGGAGAAGGAAGTAAAGGCAAAAAAGGCTTTCCTCACTGGTCATGCTTTCATGGAGACACCCCAGAGGTCTCTCCCAACAACTGCTACTTTCATTTCACTGGCCAAAATTTAGTCACATATCTATAGGGGGGTTGGAAAAAATAGTCTTATTATGGACCACACTACTTCCTTCCACATTCAGGGTTCTTTGAGTGGGGAAGAAGAGGAGAATAGGTGTTGGCTGGGCAACTAGCAATCTCTGCACATTACTACAATTAACTTTAAGCCCTTCTGTTCTATTATATAACCAGTAAATCTCTCACAAGCCAGGACAGAGGCATTTCTCTCCCTGGAATACTTTAGGACAATTTTAGGAGCCTTCTCATAGCATTGAGCCAGGGCAGGGCTCTCCCCACTTGGGGTCCAGGAGTGCCCGGGAGAAAGGAGCCACTAGGGCTCACCTGGTTATCTGAGCTGCCAGAAGGGCCGGTTGTTTTCATGAGAAGAGGAAGTACAGTGACCCTTCAGCAAGCGTAGGAGATGAGCCCAGATGCCAGATGCCGCTGTCTCTCACCAGAGGTGAACGGAACAGCACAGTCGATGTTACCTAGAGAACAAAATGTTATCAAGAGACATGACAAAGCTTCCTGTTCACCCCAGGGAGAATGAGGACTGTCCTACGAAGCAACATTAAGTACGAACTGAACGATGTCAGAGGTGCCAGAAGAGGCAGTGTTTATGTGTGAGTTTGAGAGCAGAAGCTGGCAAGGGAGGAGGGTCAGTTGAGAGGAGGAGTTGGGACTGAGCTGTCAGGCTCCCGCACCAGGACAGGGAAAGGGCACTCCAGAGGGCTGGGAAAGCACCAGTGTTCTCAAGTTCGACAGAGCTGAGTTCACACCCCGGCTTTCTGTGTGACAGCTATAAAATCACTTCCCCTCTCTCAGCTTTCTCAACTACAAACTGCCCTGTAGCTTGGAGCATGTCCACAGAATTGAGTAATGGATTAAAGATCCAGCAGAGTGGATGTTGCCTTTATAATTACTATGCAATCATTTAGTCCCAAGGCCCTAGGTCAGTCCTCCTCCAGGTGTCCGATGGAGGGTGAGAGAAGGCAGGAAGGCAGGCACCTTCCTGGGGAAGGCCAGGGTCCCCAGGAGAAAAGGGCAGAAACCACAGTCCAGGGACTCTCTACTCTTCTCGTGGTTGGGCCTTGTGACTCCCTACTAGGTGAGGCCAGAGCAAGATGGCCTCAGGGGCCAACAGAGGCCCCTTCACCTCAACATGTGGATGGACATCTCAGGCTTTCTTTCTCATGTTTCAACATGCTGGGTCCAAAGGCATTTTGTCCCCAGGGCACTGTTCATTAAGGACTCACTCTCCTTACACTCAGGACTCCAGGGATGCCAACCTATAATTTGGTGTTATCCTATTGACTGCTGGCCATGCAGCCCTGAGCATGCCTCAGCCTCTGGAAACGTCCCTCCCTTTCCCCTCAAGGTGTTTTGAGAAGCCAATAAAAGCTCTGATCTCAATGGGGAAAGTGTCAGAAAGTGCTCATGCCCATAAAACAAACATGTGTGAAAAGACCATTATTTCTTACTCATTAGACTCTTGGATAAGCCAAAAAACAAAACAAAGAAAAGCTACCATTTACTGAGCATCTACTATGTTCCTGTACTTTAAAAGCATTATCTCAGCTCATCTTTACAACCCCCCCATGGGTGTGGGAGCAGCTCTTATTATCCTCATTTTATTGAAGATGTAACAGAGATTCCAAGATCCAAGAGGCATGGCCAAGATCACGGACCTGGTAAACAGCAAAGCTGGAATACAAACTCAGGCTTTTAAAAAGGTAGGACCTCCAGCAGAGGACCTTTCAAAGGCTTGAAAGCAGGTCCTGGGTGGGCAAGATGGGCCTCTGGTGTGGCCCTCCCACAGGTCCCTGGGGCCTTCATTTTTCAGAAAACCCGCTCGTGTCCAGATGACAGCCGTGGCTGCAGGGCACCCTCCGCTTGAAAGCCAGACTCCCCCCTCGCTTCTCAGCCACGGTAAAACCAAAGTTTATTTTCATTCCTTCCATCCCCATGTTAAAGGAAAGCAGAACTTGGGCCTCACATTCCATTCTAAATAGGGATTGGAGGACTGTTCAATCTAATTAAGATGATTTGACAGTTTTGAAAAAAGTATTTCACACACACACACACACACACACACACACACACACACACACACACCCCTCTAGGCAGACCTATCAGAACATCCCCAGCCACAGGTTTAATGTCAACCCAGTGCCATAGTGGCACCTGCCCATGCCACAGCTGCCCCACAGGGCCTGTGGATGGGCCACGTGACATTTCAGGGGCTGTTCATTCAGAGGTCAGAGAGTTGCCTGCAGCCCTTCCTCCTTCCCGTTGGTCACCTTTTTGAGTTTCCAAGCTCCAGATAGGAAGGCAATTATAATTTGTGATGAAGTACAATTCTGGCTGGTGGGGAGGGGGGAAGAGATAAAGAGTGTATGTGGCAGGGGGAGACCACTAACAGTGGCAGTGATAAAGCTGTCACTGCCCTCTCTGGCCTGAGTGTGCGGGGCATCCCCCATGGGAACTGGTAAAGCTTGTGAAACTGCTGTAGGACACTGAAAACCTGGGACCCTCCCCTAGGTTCAGAAACCCTCGCTTTCAAGGCTGAGTACCTGGCCAAATCAATAAGTACATAGTTCTGTAGGAAGATCAATGGGAAAGATAGCATGCCATGTTCTTCTCCAGAGTCCACAAAACATATCAGCACATTCGAGGCCCTGATAGGCCTGCATTAAAGAAACATATCCATTTGTTTGTTTAACTGAATGCCTCCTGAACTTATCTGAACACATAATATTTTTTTCATAGAACACCCAATGGTGGAATATAATTTTAGAAACAACGCACTTACTTCTAAGAGGGACAACCACGATCCCTTGCATTATCTTTAAGAAAAGGCAGCTATGGTATCCCCATGACATTACGTTTTAATAATGTTCTAAGACCTCAGGATGTACAAATCAGGAACCTGTTTCAAAGGTGACAGGAAAGTTTACATCAATTACCTTTAACTAGAGCCACATCTTCGTCCCTTCAGGATTGCACCTGGATTCCCTCAGACTCAAGTGCCCAACCAATCACAGAGCCCTGATCTCTGACACTGCCGCCTTCTCCCAGGTTCCAGAACAGTGGCTTCATTCCCCCCACTCCTTATTACCCCTCAGTACTCTCTCCAACCCCCACAACCTTGGGCCCTCCCTCTAATCAATTACCAGTTCATTATATTTTATCTCTGTTATGTTTCAACTCTTTACACCCTGCTCCTTCCCATTATGACTAACTTGGCCTCTTGCCCCTCAAGCACCTCCCTGCCCTGATCTCTCCATAATTCATCCTGCCCACAGCAACTAGAGGGATTTCTCAATGTGCAGATGTGTTTCTGTCATTCACCTGCTCGCACAATATCATCATTAACATTGCAGATGACATTTATTAAGCGCTTGCTTTGTTCTAATTCTATTCCCATGTTGGAAATAGGGACATTGGAGCCCAGAGGGGACACGTAACTCGCCTAAGGCTTCACATTTAGTGAATGGTGGCAAGAAGATTTGAGGTTTGAGTAACGTGACACCAAATGCTGAGTGCTTCCCTTTGCACGGCACCTCCTCCCTTCACAGACTCGGCCGTGGAGGGTACCTGGGCCTCCCACTAGCCCTGCTTGCCTTTCTGTGTCAGCCATGCCCACCATGGTGCTGGAATGTGGCACCATTACTCATCTCCACCCATCAATGTCATCATGAACTCTGCTCAAATGTATTTCTTCCACTCCTAGCTATGCCCTCTAGCTGCTCTTACTAGTGGGACCCTCAGCACCCCTTAGATGGTCAGTCTTTTGAGGCTAGAGCTAGGCCTTGCATGCCTGTCTGCCTTCACTGGTCCTCACACAAGGTTGGTACCCTACTGTCCCCACAGTCCGTTCTCCCCTTGTTTTAAAAGATCTGGAAAGGTCTTTAAAATCTTCTATTACAGAAATTTTCTAACACACCAAAAACATTTCTAATAAACAAATGCAGTGAGAATAGTGTGATGAACCTCCACATTCCCATCACCTATCTTCAATAATTATCAACATTTTGGGTTTTTTTTCTCACCCTTCGTTTTTGAGGTGATTGGGGGAAAAAATCTCAAATTTTATGTCATGTCACCTGTACTTTCTGTAGTATCTAGCTATAACAGATAGGAACTTTAAAACTCCATAATTATAATACCATTATCACTTACAAAATAACACTGTCATATAAAACATGTTGGAAAACTATGGGTCACGGGCCAAATCTGGTCCACTGTCTACTTTTGTAAATGAAGGGTTTGGGGGACATGGTTACACCCATTTACTCACCCATGCGTGCAGCTGCTTTCAAACTACAACAGCAGAGTCGAGCGGCTGTAATGGAGACCATACAATCCACAAAGCCTGAAATATTTGCTCTCTTGCCCTTACTGAAAATTTGCCGACCCCTGATACATAATATCCAGTCCACTTTCGGATTAAAGAGAGATCTTTTTAAACCATAGATCTGATCGTGTCATTCTCCTGCTTAATTTTCACTGGCCTCCTTTTACCTGTGAGATGGAAAATTCAGCCCATGGTGGAACTTCTCAGGCTCTGGAAATCTGACTTGCTTTTCAACCCCATGCTCTCTCTGTGCCAGCAGGTCGGTCCTCTTTCACTTCCTCAACCGTGCCTTCTCAGGGCCTCTGCGCAAGCTGTCCCCTGGGCCCAGTTATCTCTCACTCCCCAGCTGCCATTTGCTCAGTTAACATCGACACTTTCCTGAGTTCTTAGCTCCAACCTGCCTCCTCCAAGGGGTCCTCACTCTGCCCCCACACTTCCCTGCACCCCCAGAATTCTCCGTGGTGGCTCTCATGGTACACTGTTCTTTTTCGCAGAGCATTGGCACACTCGTGAGCATGTGTTGGTGGTGGTCGTTTGACCACTGTCAGTCTGTCTCCTAACTAGACACCAAGTCTGGGAAGGGACCAGTTTCTTCTTTCTCATCTCTGAATTCCTAGATGGGTACCCAACACATAATAGGAGCTCAATAAATATTTGGCAAATATTTATTGAAGAAGAATCAGTTAGTTTCTATCTACTGAAGTGCAAGAGCCCAGTGTAAGGAGGAACAATACCTGAGCATGCTGAGACAGTTTTTTCTATCTTCTCCATGAAGCACAAAGAGAAAAGCGGGGAGACAGAGACTTTGAGGGACCTAACATGTTAGGTATTTCACAAGTGTCATTGCACTTAATATTCACCAAAACCTTCCAAGATGGAAGTACCCCCATTTTACAAATGGGAAATTGAGGCTCAGAGAGGTGAATAAACACATCTGCCCAACTCGCTATGGGTTCACTCTTCCTTAACCAAGCTGCTGGGTTGCTCCAGGCTGCCTGAGATACCCACTCTGGTTTACCAACCTCTAGATTCAGATTTCTGATTGGTTTGGTTCCATCCATTTATTAAATCACAAGTCACCATGTCTTCCTGTGGCCCCTTGATGCCATTGCATCCTGTCTTCCTGGGGAGCTCTGCCTTGCTTCTCCTACAGAAATAAACCAAGTCACTCTTAGAAGTCAACCCAAGGTTGGCTTCTTTCCACATTTTCAACGTGAGATGGCCACATGGTCACATGTCCTGACATGGGCACAAAGAAGCCACTAGTGGGCAAGTATCAAGCTTATGAAATGAGATTTCAATTCACAAGTGTTTCCTGAGCACCAGTGAGGTTCTGGACCCTGAGCAGAAAAGCTTGCAGACTGGAAAAACAGGGTGGTCTCCTGTTTAATCTTTACAACGTCCTGTGAGGTAACCACTATTATCATCCCCTTTTTACAGTGAAGAAAGTTAAGACTCAAGAGGGGCAGAGACACTTTGCCAAGGTCACACAACAAGTAAATGAAAGAGCAAAAATCCCATCCTGAGTCCATCACTTTACTGGATTTTTTGAAAACCCTTTCTTTTTAATTATAAGACTAATACAATGTGTATAAAAATTTCGAATAATACTAAAAGAACATAGTGGCAAAATGCCTCCAATTCTGAAATCACTGATAACAGTATATTTTTCCAGGCATTTTTTATGCACCTATAAATGTACATTTATATGCACGTATATGTATATATATATACTATATACACATGTACATATTCCCACCTGCCCATACACACATATGGAGTTGTACAAATGCAGGAATATTCTGTGCATGTGTTTCAGAATGTTTATGCATTCAACAGTCTCTATTGGCCTTCATCTAGGCCAGCCCGTGAACTTTGCATCAAGGCCATGAGCAAGGTTAGGCATGAGAGGCACTCTGCACTTTCACCGTTGAGCACATCCTTGGTATCTTATTGTTCTCATCCTCGGCCCTGTTTTGCTTATAACATCTTCTTAATTTAACCCTCAGAGGAAGTTTGTGTTGACTATCATTATTATTATCTCCATTTCACAGACGGGAAAAGGGAGGTGCAGAGAGATAAAGAGATTTGCCCAAGTGGAGTCCAGACCGAACCCCTGGCTACCGACCTCCAGGGCCATCTCTAAATCGCAGGGTTCTGTTGGATGCTTTTAAGGTTGGAGAATAACGCAAATGACGTGCGTCCTCGGCAGACTGCTTGCCGTCTGTGAGACTGCACACTCAGTGGTGTGCAGGGGGAAGAACACGCGAAGATGGAGGAAGGGATCATGGAGGAGGGGGCATTGAGGTGAGATGGGAAGGGTGGCTAAGATATTTCAATAGGTGGCGCTTGGAGGGAAGGCATACCAGGAGGAGGGAACAGAAGTACAGAGGTCTGGAGGTGGGAAGGGGCAGGGGCTGTTCCAGGACAGCCTGCTGAGGTCTGGCTAGACCATGATCACTTACACAGCAGGGAGTGGGGGGAGACTCCAGTTGCAGGGCATGCAACACAGGGATCCCCCTGGGTGGGGTGGGAGGGCTCCACCCAGCTATGACCCGGGACGGGGTGACTTCCCCTGGGGCTGGAATGGGCACCAAGCTTGTGCTGTGCTGGCAGCTGCCCATATCTGTGGGCCTTGGACTGGAGCAGGACTTAGACTTTTCCCACTGGAGAAACAGTAGGATAATCAGGCAAGGCCCTCAGGCTGCTTGGAACTTTCTCTGTAGTATTTTGGCACAAGAACATTCAGCTCTAAAGCATAACCCAGAAAGTTCAAGTGAGTCATGGGGCATGAGTCCCAGGCAAGCACATGGGAGGTGGTATTGCGGGGGCTCGTTTCTGGGCTCTCCAAAGGCAAGGAGGCAGGTGTGAAGAGAGACTGGCTACCCTGCAAGACAGAAGACAGCCCCCTCTTCCTTTCCCTCTCCCTGTAAAACATCTGGTTTCCACCATCCTGAAAGGCATGGGAACTCCTTCTAAGGGAGACTGGAACGCCCAGGTTTTAGGAAAACAATCTCTTTCTCAATTATTTGTGTCCAGATTGCCCTCTCCCTGGATCAGCTGTGGAAAATCACTAATTCCTTAATGGGCTCCAGAGCCACCCAGATCATTTCCTTGCTCACACCCATCATGCACTTGGTATGGCCTCCCAGAGCATCTGCCTGGCTTCCCTTTTGAGATCCTTGTCCTCAAGAGCCGAGATGCAGTCAGGGCCAGCATGGAAGCCACTGGATCCATGGTTCAGCCACACATGAGCAGCATTCTCCCTGAATCCTCGCCTCTGCCCATTGCACCACTTCATCACCCTGCCCAGCTAGATCCTGGCCAGGGGCCCCATCAGAGCAGGCCTGTCTCTCTGCACTCTCACGGCCTCACTGCCTGGCACCTAGGAGACCCTTGGAAAATTACTGGAAGTAATGAGTTTTCCTAATGGGGCCTCTGTCCAGTCTCCCAGTGCCTGACCCTTGGTCACCAGACAAAGACCTCCCAGGCCACCCTCCTGGGCACCTACTACCACTAAGGTTTTCCAGTGAGTCCTGAACACCACTTCCTCTTTATTGTAGGAAAACATGTATAATGTAAAATTTATCATTTCACCCATTTCAAAGTACACTATTCAGCAATATCTAGTACATACACAGTGCTATACAGCCATCATCACTACCTAGGTTCCAGAATATTCTCATCACCTGAAAACGAAACCCTATAGCTGTACACCTTCTTCTTCCCAAGCCCCTGGCAACCACTAATCTGCTTTCTGTCTCTGGATTTGCCTGTTCTGGACAGTTCACATAAGTGGAATCATACAATATGTGACCTTCTGCACCTGGCTTCTTTTACTTAGCATAACTTTTCAAGGTTCATCTGTGTTGTATAGTGTTGCTATGAACATTGATGTCCAAGTTTTTGTTTGAACACTATTTTCAGTACCCAGGAGTGGAATTGCTGGGTCATATGGTAATTCTAGGTTTTCACTTATTGAGGAACTGCCATATCCAGTTACCACGTTTTCCCTAAATGCATACATCTTTATCATAAGACATCTAGAACATTCATGCACAGAAAAGAAAAAGCTAAAACCACCCATAGTCCTGGCACTCAGCATTAAGCATTGTCAACTTTTCAGATTGTTTCCCATCAACATTTTTTAGAAAGCCTAGACCAATACATATTCGTACACTTCCCATTGAAAAGTTTTTACAAAAATCGAAATGCTACATAATGCCACCTGCTTGGGGACAAGCCTATTAGAAATTGCAACCTGGACACTCCCTTCCTCCCTACCTTTATTTTACTGCCTGGTACTTATCCACCTTCTCTCTATTTATTGTGCTTACCATAAACCCAGTGAATGCTGGGATTGCCAACTGTTTTAGTCACTGCCTTGCACACAGTAGGGATGCAGTAAGTATTTGTTGGATGAACGAATATTTGTGAATGAATGAAAATGCAGCCATCCATTTAAGATTTAAACTCCATTTTACATGCCTTTGCCAAAGTACAGCAGGAATGGCTGCACATTATTCCCTGTTGATGACCAGCCCCACTAGACTCTCCACCACCCTTTCTTCCAATGAAGAAAAAGGATGTCATGCCTTATCCCAGGCATGGATATAGGACCTGGGAATCCCATCAGCCAGGATCAATTCCTTGCCTACCCTTGAACATTCTGAGTTCTATTTTGCAACAAGGCCCCTCTCATTTCCATCCTAGGCTCCTGGAGAAGACGATCCTGAAAATCTAAGAGCCCAGAGCCCATTTGGTCCTAATTTCAGGATGGGTTTCTTCCGAACTCCGAACAAAGCCAAGGGTCCCCAAGGGGGACCATGTCTCTACCTCCACCTTCCTGTCCACGTCAGAGCAATTCTCCCAGCCACCTTGTCATGAGCCCGCTGTGCTGCTGATATTGGTTACAGATGATGGCAATTAGGGGCCGAATCTCCCTGGCTCCTGGTAGAATATTGAGACAGAGCTACAGCTATTTTAAGATTTTAAGCAGATTTATACTTAGTGCTTCAAAGAAGGGCAGCCAGCAAGGAAAATATGGTAACTGTTGCTTTAAATTATAGCTATCATTACTTCAAAAGGAGATTCAATCAGAAACCACTGAAGACTAAAACTATTTACATCTCCTGACACTTAAAAGCAAGCGAGTAGTTTTAGCCTGTCAGCCTTGGACATGATGGCTACAAAGAAAGAGGTACCTCTCTGGCCTGTGAAGAAAAACATTTTCAAGAGAGCAGGAACTGAGAAGGGATCTTGGGGGTCCTCCCCTTCAGAGCGTGCCTTCCAGCTCTCCCACGGCCTAATGGGGACACAGGGGCTGGGGTGGGCAGCTCTGCCCAGGTCTGCAGGCGGCAGTCTCCAAATCCCATTAAAACCTGGCTCTCCCTAAGGCAGAAGGACAGGCCTTTTCTGTCTGGCCTCTGGCCTTCAGGTCCCTGCCCTTGGGAAATCCTGTCTCATCCCATTAATACAAGTCCCAGGCCAGAACCATCCCTGTTTCTTCAGAGCTGATCTGCATGGACTGGACAGGAGGACTGGATATTGTATCAACCAAAATCAGAGCTACAGACGGTGGTCCAAAGCATAGGCTTTGGACACAGGCTTCTCTGGGTTAGACACTGGGCTATTTCATTTACTTAGCTGTATGACCTTGGACAAGCTGCTTAACCTCTCTGAGACAGCTTCTTCATCTGTAAAATGAGTGTTTTGTAAGATTGTTGAGAAGCTTAAATGAGATGGTGTGCATAAGATACTTAATTAGTTAGGATAACACTAGACATGGTAGTAAATAACCCCTACAATTTCAGGAGCTTAACACAGTAAGACTTTACTTCTCCCATAACAATTCAAGGTTGGTATTTCTAGTCCATAGGCAGCTTTTTCCCTGTGATGATCTGGGGACTCGGGATCCCTCCATCCTGTGGCTATGCCATCTCCTAGGGTTTCAGATCCCTCTACTTCTAACCTCTGGAAGGGAAAGAGGCAAGGTGCCAGGTCCTGAGGACACATCTGGGAAAATCAGAGCCACCCTTGCTCTGGGTGTGTGTCAGCTCCTGAGATGCCTTCCTTTACCCCATAGTCTGAATTACAGGCACCCCTCCACACACTACCCTAGTACTTGTGCTTATCTATATTAGTCACATTCACTGGGATATAGTTTTGTGGGCACCACTGGGGCCTGTGTTGTTCATAGCCAAGTTCCAGAAGAACTCAGCACCTAGCACACAAGAGGGGTGCGATAAATGCTCATTGGAAGAATTTGACAGAGAAGATCAGCTTTGCTTTTCTTCCAGGTTCTGGATCCAGACCTTCCCAGCCTGCCATGTTCCCCGGAGCCCGGAGCCCACCAGTACCTCCTGCCCATGTGTTCCAGACGTTTCTTCCAGTAAGAAAGAGTTGCAGTGGACACCATGGCTGGGCCGAGGCCCATGTTCTCCAGGTGTGAATTGGTCCCTGCCCATCCCTGGTGAGAAGTTACTGGCAAATAGCACCTTCCCCTGCCCCGACCCATGGCCCACTCTGCCTCCATCCTGAGGCAGGTAGGGCATGTTCCTGGTTGTCCTGGGCTCACTGCAGCTCCTCCTTTGCCAGGCAGGCCTTGGGTGGCCTGAGCAGGTATGCATGGGCTTCCTAGCCTGAAGGCTGGAAAGGGCAGGGCAGGTGGGAGCACAGGAGGGAGCTGGCTGCTCTGTGTTACCTACACAAGTCACTTCTAACTCTAGGTGTCTGCTTTCCCTCCTCTTCCATGGAGACAATGCCACCTGATCTGCCCACCTTCTGGGGACGTAGAGGGTAGGAGGAAAAGCCTCGAAACATGGCAATGTCTTGCATAGTCGACATTTGTTGACTTTTTACCTCCCATAATGAGTCCCGTCTTCTTTTAATAACAGCAACCTGATTTCCTTTGGGTGTGTTACTTCTCCTAAATGGTGTGCAGTCTTGGCAGGACTCTCCATCAAGATGCCCTTCTCTCCCCTGCCCAGTGGGTGTACACATGACCCTCACTCAACCTATAAGACTCTTCCCTGGGACTTTGAGTCTTGAGTGGAGTCACAGAAGATGGGAGAAAAAAGAGGACAACTGGAGCAGCAGGAACAGCCAGCCCCCAACCACACATACATTATCAAACACACACACACACGCATGCACGCATGCACATGCACACTGGCAGGTGACTCCTCCAACCTAAACAACTTGTCCCTGAAGATTTGCCTTATCTTCTTAACTAGACCCTTTGCTCCTTGAAAGTGGGTACAATGTAATTCTGGAATTTTCTTTCCCCAAGCTGGGCCAGCAAAGCAGGGAAGGAGGAGGAGGAAGTGCCAGCTTGCATGGCCAGTTCCAGAAACACCAAGCTGCGTTGCCTTGGGCACATGTCTCAAGCTCTCAGGCTTGTTTCTTCATCTCTAACTGATCCATGGAGTTGTTCTGAGGATCAAATGGGAAAACATAAATAAATTACCCAGTGCATTAAACAGAGTTATTGCTATTATCACAACTGTTATTGACACTCAAGGCTGAAGGCCAATAAACAGTTTTCAGTTGCAAAAACAGGTTCTGTTCTTTTCTAGGGGATACTGGTATCAAGTCAGGTTTTAATGAGAACCTGAAACTCAGAGAACTATCCTCTAGGCTCCGCCCCTCAGATTCCCCTGACAACGACTCAGCCTGGGTGCTTCCAAATAAGCTTTCTGCAAGCCAGAAGGTCCAGGCAATAAATAAATCCCTTTCAGTTCCAGATTTTTTCAAGAATGAGGAGTAAGGCAGAGAGATCCCATTTTCTAAGTGGATGTGGCTTTTCACCTATTTTTCTGATTGGAATCCTTCATTCTCATGGGGACAGACCCTCATACCACAAGGGTGAGCCCACTAAACTCAAAGAGGTCTCACATTCTGATGATTTTTCTGGTCACAGGAGCATCAGTAAGGTGTCATCAGATGCCCCTGACAGGCAGTTGTCGACCTCCAGAAGGAGTCAAGCTGAGGGTGAGACCCCAGGCTGCCCCGGGTGCTGGTCCAGCTCAGCGCCCTAGGGGACAAAGGAGGACAGAGAGCCATGGCAGGCAAGGAAGCTGGCTTTCTAAACACCAGCACTCCAGGCAGAACCCGACTGGGCCCCCACCCCCACCTTCGTCTGCGGGCCCCTCCCCCTCTGCTGCCCTCCCCTCTCCTCTTCCCACTCTGCGGGCCGGCAGCTGGTCCAAACAGCCAGCACCAAAGGATTCTCATGCCCTCCCTGCTTGCCTCCCCCCACCCCCCAGCATACAGAAGACTTGGGCCAACAGGGAGGTGGGCCAGAGAAGAGAGGCAGGGAGGCAGAGAGGAAAGAAGGGGAGTGAATTGGGACCTCCTCTGAGGCACATGGACATCAGTGGGCATGAGCAGATGGTTCAGGAAGACCCTCTCTGCATGATTCTGTCTCCTGGGTTCTGATAACTGCTCCCTCCCCTGCCCTTTGGGCCTGAGAGGCAATGGCTCCCCTGGCATCCCTTGGATATCTCTGCATCGTGCCCACATCTTTGCACACAGTGCCACAGGAGGCATCCTCGAATGATCCTGTCTCCTGCTGAGGGCCTGACGGCTATCCTGGTACCCACATCACCGATTTCCAGACCCCATTTTCATCAGCCTTCACAATGGGAGCCTCCCTTCCAACCTTATCAGAGAGGCAGCTGTGAAATATGGCCCACTCAGGAAGGGCCCTCAGACAGACAGGGCACCCACCCCTGCCAGGCGGCCAGGGCACCCAGGCGCTCAAGGAAAGCTCACTCCAGAAGTACCTGATCACCACAGATCTTTGTAGGTAAGGTTCTGGGAGTGTTTCAGCTACCGTGAGTACCTGGGGGACATGGGGGTGGAGGAGGGCAGGATGAGCAGGGGGCCGGGGAGGGGAAAGGCTGCAGAAGGCAGCTAGCCCTTACCTAATCTTCTTACTACCCTAGGGAATTCTCTCTATCTCGAAGCAATCATAAAACACTCACCTAATTTAGGAGGAAATGGTGACAGCAGATGTTCCTGTACCATGAGCACTTTGCACTCGACAGTCCTCATGATAAGTTGTGGAGGATTTAAAAGGTTGCTGACATTTTCCGTTATGTATCTTTTCATTAGAGGTAACTATCACTTTAAGCAAATTGTTCCAGGGCCTGGAATGTAGCAATAAGTGATCTAATTAGTGTAGGTTGTAATTTAGGAAGGTTCATTATGTCACAGACATTATGACTCCTGGGTATTACTAAAGGCCTCATTTGTAGCCCTTGAAATGATTTTCTCATGAACACACATAATGTCACCCATCGACCTAGTGTGGAGCCATAAGATGACTGGACATATATGAAACTCCAGCTTTCTTGGAAACTAGTTTTCAAGACAGGTAATAAACAAGGGAAAAGATAGTTCAAAGAAGTCCAACTTTTGGCTACAGCAACCCTGGCCCTTTCAGGTCTGTTACCCAGTGTCAAATAAATCACTTAGGATAAATGTGAACTTCAAGGAGAACCAAGAAGCCGGTGGTGGCTACATATTTTAGATCTCATGCAGCCAGAACATTTGAGCAATGGCTGGCTTTGAGTTCTTCTATTTCCTTTTGTACCCTCAGTCCCCAAAAGAAAGCACACCTGTGATATCCATCTTCACAAAAGTAAAACATGCTGTCAGCTGACCCACCGACGTGTAAGTATGCTGCTGGGTCACGGCAGAGGCCAGCTGGCTGCCATCCACCTACATGATTCCCTTTGCCTTCTGGGCACCCAGCTAGACTCCACTCCCCAGCCTCTTGCTTCAGGGGTGGGAGGGGATATGTGACTGAGTTCTGGGCAATGGGATGTGGGCATCACTATGGTCCTGGAGCATCAAACCTGAGCATCAAATACTCCACATTTTCCCATGCCTCTGCTTGCTATCAAACTGCAAAGACCCAGGGGGCATTCGGCAGGTGCAAGGATGGCAGAGCCACCAGATGGAAAGGACCTGGATACTGAATGACTTGGACAGACACCCTCCTACGCACTGCCGATGGGAGAAGACATGGTGAAAACTAAACCGTGTGTTAAGCCGCTCAGCATTGCACACTGTATTTTACAGCAGCACTTAGAGCCTTGGGGCTCTATACACACATGCCTATGGGGTTCCTCAATAAATCAGGGACTCTCATTGCCCTCCAGCCAAGATCTTGAGGGGATTTATCTTCTGTAGTTTGTGTTCTAAGGGCAATGGGTTTCTTTTCCAGCCTTCTTATTTAGAAGGACTTCTTAGTTTTTAAAAGGACTTCAAACTTACCAAATCCCAAAACTTACAGCTTACAGACATTCAGACAGAAAACTGAGCATCAGAGTGAAACCAGTCAGATCTGCTCCCTATGAACAAGAGTCATTTATATGGTGCCAGAGAGTTTGAGCAGCTTTGCTTCTGACTAGATCGGCACCAAGGAGGAGCCAGAAGGGTGGGCTGCTCTGACTGGCCGGGTCTGGGTCACAGGAACATCCCTAATGCTAAGCACAGAGCCAGTGCCCCCAACCCAAATGTGCTGAGAGTAGGAAAGAGGTGGTTTCTCAAGGTAAACCAATATGCTGTTATCAAAAGAAAGGGGGAATGGAGACCCAGCAGGTCAAAACTAGAGTTTTCACTTAAACACACATTTAGAAGGAGAAATTAAGAAAGAAATTCTAGAGACTTGGCCAAGATCAAACAGCTAAGAAGGGCAATTGAATGAAGCAGCCTCTCCTATTTCAGCTTTCTCCCCACACAGCCACATGGTAGCACAGGACAGCATGTCCACAGGGCAGCTGTTTTTGGTGCGATGACTCTCAAACTGGCAGCAACTGTGGGTAATTATAACCAGAGAGGAACCATGTTCCCTAATGCATGAACCATAAACCCATCAGTTGTCCGGAGGCAGCAGAGGGATTTATAAAAGGCCATTCATCTAATTAATAACTGGTCTGCTGCCAACTTAAGTGGTTTGGTGCTGTTAACTGTAAGTATATTTTTAATGTAAGGAACTGACTCGCATTAGCTGTCTTCTCTTTTGAAAATATGGCCAAGTGAAAGGCTGACATCTCACAAGCTGAGAGATTCACCTGGCATTAGCCAGCCTCTTAAGAGTTTACCTGTACAGCCAAGTTTATTTCCAGCACTGGGTCCCAAAGGAAAAACCCATCTTTCATGGAGTAAACATTGAGGGAGAATCCCACAGGCGATCCTTGTCCTTTGGAGCTTATTTTGTTCCAGGCCTGCCTGTGAAAACCTTGTCTGGCTCACAGCATAAGGAGCCAGGAGCAGAGCAAGGCCTCCGGGTGACAGTTCTAGGCGACAGCTCTAGGCCTTTGTAGATGATCAGGACACTTATCTCCTTTGTGCTTCTTAACTCAGAAGCATTTCTAACAGATGTAATTTCGAGACGCATCTGTGTCTTGATTTAGTAAATGTTTTGGTAGTCCCAGGAGGTAACTTGGTGATTTGGAGCAAGTTGTATCCCCCTCAAAATCCATATGTTGAAGCCCTAATTCCCAGTGTGATGGTATTTGAAGCTGGGGCCTTGGGGAGATGATTAGGTCATGAGAGTGGAATTCTTATGATGCGATTCATGCCCTGATAAGAGACACAAGAGAGAAAGAACTGTTTTTCTCAGCCATGCAAGAAGACCGTCCACAGGCCAGGAAGAAAGCCCTCCCCAGGAACCAAAGTAGGCAGCACCTTGATCTGGGGCTCCCCAGCCTCCAGAACTGTGAGCAATAAACTTTTGCTGTTTAAAATACCCACTGCAGTATTTCGGTAGAGCAGCCCCAGCAGACAAAGACACTTGGTTAGGCCCTGTTCTGTTTACCGGTCTCCCTGCTGAGTGCCCTGCAGTTAGGAGTGAAACAAATCTTTCTTTCCCTAAGGAGCAATGGCAGTAATTTGCTTCAACAGCCTTGCTCTTGGTGTTACTTTCAAAATATCCTCAAGAATGTTCTTCTGAGCCAGTTGCAAATCAGAATTCCTCCAGCTGATTATGATTTTACAATATGAGTTATTGAAATGTTTAATTTTGTCCAAAGCTTGCATCAGCTGCTTGATCTGATAGATTGAAACAAAAGAAAAAAACTTTAAAATCCTCCTAGGACTTTTCCAGATTTTCTTTGCTTTTGCCAGGCTGTGATCTAATCCTAGAAACCTCTACAGAACCGTTCGGGCTGAGTTAGAGTTATTTAAGGGAGGCCGACTATGCTCTTTGCAAGTGGCACTCAACAACTATCAATATTCAGATGCCTGGGCCCTAGATGCTTATATTTAAATAACAGCTGCACCTTCTGACCTCTAGATGGTTTAATCTGCCCTATAAACATTTGGAAGTTTGAGGAAAGCCCTTTGCAGAGGAAGAATACAGCTGGTTTGGGGAGAGTCAATCCAGATAAACCCTTTCTCTAAACCTGAACCTGCTTTTTAAAGACACTAAGTACCTTAGACATTTTCCCTCAAACATGCAGC